CGTGTACGTGTAAGCGTCGTGGAATTTTGGCAATGTTGGTTGATGGTGGATTTTCCGTCTCCAATATCATATCTAAATCTTTGATTCCAATGATATCCTTATCATTTTCTACTTCCATTTTAAAGGTGTCTACATATTTACCATTTTTCGTTTCAATTTCCTGATCCCTTTTATCAATCAAACGTATATTCTCCTCCAAATTACCATCATTGAATAATGAAATATGTTTGACGGCCTTACCGGTTTGTTTGAAGACTACTTTATTGACTTTAACCTTCATGGGAAACTCTATTTGAATCAGACAATTACCTCGAAAAGAAAACTCTTGCGTTTCGCCGATATCGAATACGTTTTTAGGTTCTCCGTATGCGAGAGAACCCACTTTTATTTCTGCTTTGAATCCGTATTTGTTTGATTTATAAATTTGGTCTTTTCTATCGAAGACAGTGTCACTTTCGAATGGTAGATTGAAATAATACGATTTGTCCGTGACAATAGCTTCTAATTTGCTCAACTTTCTCTCTTGTCTCAAAAAATCGTCATGAATTCTAGATACCAAAAGATTGACCTGTTCTTTAATATAATTTTTCATATCATCTCGAAATTTATTTTGAAGAAAGTTTTTAATCACACCCACTTCTTTTTCTAATTCGTCCGTGATTTTAGTATCCAAAGCAGTCAATTGTCGTTTCAACGTATCTTTGTCAATGGGAAGTGTGTTAATTATATCTTGAACATCTGATTTTTGCCTCGCGATCTTTTCGTTCAAATTAGATATCGAATTTTGTAACTCGGTTTTGTCCACGGTCTTGTCTAGTTCTGCTAGCAATTCGCCAAGTTTTTTTTCCAAAGCGGCTAGTTTTCGTTTCAATCTATCCTCGTTTACATTTGGGTTGTCTATTAAACGTTGGACGTCTATTTTTACCTTCGTAATCTTATCGTCTAATTTAGATATCAACTCACTTGTTTTATCCACTTGAATAAGACGTTTCAAACTCGTTAACTCTTGTTGTAGTTTGGGTTCGTTCACAAGATTTTTAATATTTCGTCTGAAGTATTTCTTCACGTCATTTATTCTGTTTTCAACATGGTCCTTATCTATTTGAATTGCGTTTATTTGATCCAGTAAATATTTCTTGTTCACGGCATCGTTATCGTTTCCTGGAAACTTTAAATTAGTTATTTTGAAATTGTTCATATCGATATCCCCTTGTAAGGTGTCTCCGATTTGATACACGAAAAAAGGTTTCGCTTTGTTTATAAACGCCGTAGAACTCATGGGATTTTTAGAATCTACAGGTAAAGACCCTAATCCAAACTTGTTTGCCATTTTTATTGAGTTAAATTTATTATAATTTCTTCAAACTTTTCTCCCAAACTCAACTTGAATTTGAAACGTAGAACATTTGATTGGTTTGCTAGTCAATTTCGTTATCTCTTCTGTCTGTTCTACACCGAAAGAATCAAAGAAATAAAAGTTATTCGAAGAATCTTTGTGTAAAGTAGAGTGATGAACTCCTTTTTGATCCGACGTGTGAATGTTTGTGATGGCGTAAAATTTACCTTTCTTGTATTTCAGTTCATCAATTTCATCTCGCATGCAATAATAAAACGGCGAGACGTTCAATTCCTTAGCCCATTTCACAAGTTGAAAATTTGTGGTCGTGTCTTTTCCGAATTTATCGAGAAATGCATTCATTTTTTAAGTCGATTTTTTTTAGGTGTTTTTCGAAGTAGGCGGAAAGTATTGCTAAAAACCCAATTGACGAAATATATACGTAGTTTGTGTTGGAAAAAACTTGTATAACATTCTGATAAAACACATTCAATAATATTTTGAAGATAAATTTACATTTAAATTTAAAAAATCTTAATTTAAGAGAGCGATAATGCTTGTCGACATCTAAATTTCTTAACCTTTCATCTAAATCTTCATTTTCGAGATTCATTTTTAAAAGTCAGTTTTTTGAAGTTCATTTTGATAAAACCTTCCTATGATTTGTTCTTTGTCTTGATCGATCAATTCATACGTGGGGGGTGATGTGTTGTTTACTTTATCAACGATGAATATCTCGTTAGTCCAATAGCCGACGTAACCTTTCTGAAACATAACCATTCCTCGACACTTAAAAAAGGATAATATTTCGAAAACCGGTTCGTGTCAATTGCGTAAGTTTTTGTTTTACTTGTTATAATTTTTCACATCATTGTTAGCGTTATTTATCACATAAATATATATTTTTTTGCATTTTTCATCATAACTTTCATCTTACTTTATATAAACCCAAACCCAGTTTGACTTATTTGCATAATTTGATCCCAACATTTTCACGCTAGCATATACAGTTTCCTCCTGTTACATCCGCTGTACATTCCCTTCTAACCCCAAGTTATTTTCATTATGCTCCCCAACTACAACAACCACTGGCAAGAAGCCAGAAATAGAAACACTAATCGTCAACCAAACCAATATCACGTACCCTACAACGGCCCTGTCTTCCATCGACCTCTACCACCTACCAATCGCCGACCACCAACCAACCCATCCAGCTATATCCCACCCCATCGCCGACCTACCTACAACACAGCATACCAATCAAGAGGTAACCATCGACCTGACCAACAACAGAAACGACTACCAGCCCACCGACGCCAACCAGTCCCCACTCATAAGGAGGAAGAACCCTTTGTGAAGGTGTTCTTCCAAGTTTTGCAGTGCCTCCATCATTTGGCAATCCTTACCCTTCAACAGCAAGGCCAACCAGCGTTTACCTTCAAACGCAAAGTCTCTGAGTTGGATAGTTTTATCCGTCCAGCAATGAAAACATCAGCTGTCGACGCGAATATTAGATCCCTCAATCGGACATGGCTCTGTAAGGTTACGCAGGTCCTGATCGACCATTACCAAACCACACTTCAAGAGAAGCTGACCACCATTCGTACCAAGTCTTTATTATCACCTGCCGTCGACCGCATCGTTTCTCATGCCCTGTCCTGGGCCCGTCGCTCCTATGGGAAACGTCTCACTCAAGCTGTAATCTCCAAATTCTACCAAACAATCAACGAAACAAAAACCAGAGTAACCATATCTCTACAAACTGAAATGGACACTACACCTGCACCATCTAGAGCCACCACGCTGCCGAACCAAACCCCTAAACGAGCCCGAAGTTCACCTACTCCTAGTCCAGCAGACATAGGTAAACGCTCTCGTAGAGAGGGCACACCCCTTCTCTTTTCACTTTCAGACTCGTCTTCCCCTTCCACACCATCTGAATCTTCACCACGTGATCCAGGATCCGCCAACCTTTCTTCCTTCTGTGCATTTTTGGACCAGCAAACCACCCCTCAGTCTCCATCCAAGTCGAGACGTGTATCCAGACCTTCCCCTCCTCGAACCAGATCCCAGTCCGTTCCCAATGCTACAATTCTAACGACTACCAAACCAGTACCAATCACATCGTCGACGACCATTATATCCGCTACCAAACCGTATTATCACCAAACCAAGGACAAATCATTATGGAAACTACCTGCTCTAAAGAAATCTACCTTAATAATTGGATCATCTAACCTGAATCGAATTACCAAAACCAGTTCAGACACCGAAATACATTCTTACCCCGGTGCCCAAATCCATCACATACAGTCAATCCTGGAATCATACGACCATGATCCCAAACCTACTACCATTATTTTTCATGTAGGCCTCAACAACCGTGATCAGATACCAAAGACCTCCTTTAACCAAGCCCAGAAATTAATCGCCACAGCCAACAAAACCTTCCCAAACTCCAAGATCCTCTTCACATGTATACCCATTTCAAATAAAATCTCGAAGAAAGCACAACAGAGCCTCAGCACCCTCAACAACATCATGATGGAGTCCAGTATCAACAGCGCAACAATCTTACCACCATACGAAGAAGAATTCGAAACAGTTGATAATCTTCATTGGTCTCCAGAAACAGCAAACAGCATCTATTTGTTTTGGATACACCAGCTTCAAGCATCGAGTAAGTCTTTAAACTAATTACTGGGGATAAAAATACTGAGAGGCCACCGCTAGGCCAAACTGTAGTTAACTTGAGCCGCAAAATTCTCACACCCCTTCAGCATTCAATCTTAGACCGTGGACTTAAGTTTATTCCCACACCAAAGATAGCTAACTTGAATTATCTCCGACCATCCATTGAACGATTTCAACGAAATCTTAGCTGCACATATTTTTTTCGAAACCACCCCCACGTGGTGCTAGAACAATGTTTATTCCTAAATCCACGTGGACACCCCCTCAGGCCGCCATCCATCCTGAAATATTGAAAGCATTTGCGAGTATGAATAGCCAAACAGTGAACCTTTCCATAACACACGAAAAGCCTAATCTCACACGAGTGGAACGTGAAGCGTTAAACTTACTTAAGAAAGACGATAGCATTGTTATTAAAAAGAGTGACAAAGGTTCATGTTGTGTCATTCTGAATAGGGAAGATTACGTTTCAGAAGCAGAGAATCAACTGAATAATCCTAAACATTATGCCATTTTACCGAAACCAATTTTCAAAGAAACTGCTAACATGATTAATAATATTCTTGCCGATTTAG